ATTTTCCTTTTATCTGAAAGAATGGTGTCATTATGTGCTTTTCTGATTAATATTGATGTTTTTTAGTGTAGCTGGAAATAAAAATGCATTTATTCACAGTGAACGAGCCATTTAATCCCGAAGGTGGGGAGTTTGTAGGTTAATAATGATAGGTGAATACGATAAGCAGCATCGACGGTCCATTGCCCCTGGGTTCGTTGCGACAATTTATATAGATTGGGTTGACCTTCCATTAAGTGCTTATGAGCCCGCAGCACCTTGCCGAAATGTTTTCTAATGGTAAGAGAAGTTGTTAGTAACTACACTATTAATTCTTTAGCTAGACGAAACTATGTAGTTACGTTGTGAATCCCAGATGACATGAAAACAGACTGTTGAGCGGTAGGAAGTGTTTGAAATTAGTTTCAGGGTTCTTCCTTCCTGAGGTTTTCGAACTCTGGGTGGTCACGTTTCACTTCACATTCTGTTTTTTTTAAAGTTATAGAAGGCTATAGTGCTAGCTTCCTAATGTTTCATCGTTAGGCATATACGAGTCAAATCATCACCCTGGTCATGTTCGCCTTGGTAATGAGCGAAGACCGGATATCGATGCAGCCGAGACGCGTAGAAATAATTCAGGCGCTGAAGAAGTTGCCAGGTAAATATTGAGCATCTTTTCGTAAGCTTCAGTCTGTTCCCAAGATTTGGTTTGTCTTATGCTGTAAATTGCTAGAGGTTTTTCAGTTACAGTCTCTAATGCCTAGATTGCGGATCTTTCATGGTGAAGTTCAAACAGAAAACAGAATGGCTGATGGACTCTGTTCCAGTTAAATATTGTTTATGGTGACGTTCAAGTAGTTTTGCGATGCTTGGTCAAGTTGAAGCATTGGATGCTTTGTCGTTTCTCTAGGTTTTTGAGAATTGTCTCATCTAAGCGTATAATCACATGAATGTGGCTTGTTGGATACCTTCATCATTATGAGCGTCCGTGATCTATGCTGTGGAAAACAGGCATTCACGGTTCCGTTCAGAAAAGTGGAGCAGTGTTTTGCCTTTCTGTACTGATAGTATTCCGTTTTTTGTCGTGTCAGCTCATTCATATATCAGCGATTATTGCCAACTGTTAGCTCACATTCCTACATGATGCGACAAGAAGAAATAACGTTTTTCTTTTACTCAGCATTAGAATAACCCTTTGTTAAAAATGAACATTACTTAATTCTTCTCAATTCACGTGGATTGAAACTACGATAAAATCTGCGTATGTATTTTTATGCATCTGTGCTGTTCATCGTTACCATTTCTTTCGCACAGGACAAATTCGCGAAGTTCTGAAACTGGACAAGGACGTATTGGATTTGGCGAAAGCGATTTACCAGAAGAAGAGCTTGCTGATCATGGGCCGCGGTTACAACTTCGCGACTTGCCTCGAAGGAGCACTGAAAGTTAAAGAAATATCTTACATGCACTGTGAGGGTATCATGTCCGGCGAACTGAAGCACGGTCCTTTGGCGATGGTCGACAGTTCACTTCCCATCGTTATGGTTATATGCAAAGATTTGGCGTATACTGTATGTTCGTTTTTATTTACAAATATAATTATCTGAGCAACTGTTCTAAAACTAGTTTTGTACTTTTTTGGTAGTAAGTCCTTTAGAGGTGCAAAATCTTTCTTATGAGTTTAAATTAGTTCTTCTATTTCGTAGAAATTTTGCTATCATTCGAGGTAGTTAATTCGATTGACTATTTAGCACTGAAGATGTTAATAGGTGTTTTTCAAAACAAGTTGTCAATGAAATATGAACACGGATTTTTGATTGAAGTTTACAAATAGCTTATTTATGCTGATTTTTCCTTTCTCTGTTGATACCGGATTCAAGCAGCGTAATGTCACCATCTCCTTGCTTCTAGTCATCTAGGGGACTATTTAAGCAATCCACGGCTCCATGGTATTTGAGCATCTGCAGTGCATGGATGCAGAACCGCATCACTAGGCAGGGCCAAACAAGGGTCTTTTCGGACACCTGCAGATATGCCACGATCCGTAGGCATATTTATGCATGGAAATAAACCTGATCTGTATCTTTGATGGATTTTCTTTTAATTATTTTGATAGTTTATTTAGCATTCAGGAACAGTGTTACCCACAACCTTCTGACTCCGGATTAAAATCCGTAACGATCGCCCGTGTAGCATGTCACCTGTGTGTAGGGTCAAACCTGTTGTTCTTCTCCCATTTTTGGATGATGTGTTTTGGTACCACGTAGATGATCTTTGTGAATTTTGAATGATCTTGGCTTATTTTGAATGGCTAGAGCAAAAGTGTCGTGATAAGCTTATAGCGAGAGAAGCACCCACTTCAAGCAGCAAAGCTTTAATACTGAGGTGATCGGTTTAAATGTCGTCCGGATGCTGTGATACTTCCTAAAGTGCCTATGTCAGAATAAGCACGGTACAGTGAAGAAGTCAGATTTAATTATGGTCTATCTTAGATTGAGCTGTCAGATTCTCATCAAATATACGTCATATCTATTTCTACACCCTCCCAGTGGGTGGAATTGTTTTGAATCTTTGGGTGATATAGAGGTAGTTTCCTATATCGACTTTCAGTGATATGACAGCGCTACCTGAGTAGTTCTTGTGAGCACACGTAGCAGAACTATATTCTATCCTCACTTCATTGTGCCTCGAAATGTTGATACACTTTATGCATTGTAACTGTGAATAATGGGTGTTTACCTGTACCAGCAGGTTCTATACCGGAGTCGGGTGACGGGAGGTGCTGTCCAAGCCGCTGTCATCTATGAATGGTTTGGAGTCGGGGGGGGTTGGGGTGAGCCTTTTCATACGAAATGTACTTTTCTGAATTTATGAATACTCTTTAATCCGATGTGTCACGATTGCTTTTTCATGTCTTTTTAACCTAAAGTTCACAAATATTCTAAGTTACTGTTTTCATTTCGTGATTTTCTTTGTCAATTCTATTAATGCGGTTATACCTATTTTTTGTTTAGAAATCGCTCAACGCTTTGCAACAGGTAGTAGCTCGCGAAGGTAAACCTATCATAGTGTGCGACGAAAGTGTTCCCGTTGCCGACCTGATGAACCTCGAGCACGTCTTCCGTGTGCCACATACTACCGACTGTCTGCAAAACGTTCTCACCATCATTCCGTTGCAGCTCCTGTCATACAATTTGGCTGAGCTGAACGGCCGCAACGTGAGTCAAATTATTTCTTTATACTAAATGAATTTATAGATTTCACTGAACTGACCTGAGTAGAAACGGAGGTCGCTGCTGACTAGCTGATGTGGTTTTAGGGTCAACTAAGCGGAATACTGTACTTTCCGGGATATATGATTCCCTGCAATTGCATTTATTTTAAGTCGCCGTCCCCGCGTCTCTCTGGTCCGTCAATGATCGGTTTTTCTTGCAGCTTGTTCTTCCTATTGCCACTTTAATCTTTTTACTTAGGCAGTGTCATCGCTGACTTTTATTTAGGCTTTTATCTATTCATTCTGTCTTTCTATCATTTCTTTCCATGCTGCATTTCGTAATCTGCAGTTTATGTATTGTTTTCAGGCTTGGGGTTCACGTATTTCATCCATAGGTTTGCACTAAGAATGCACACTGATCGAATTAGTTCCGTTTCAAGCACAATGATAGCATGCCAATGTCAGATGATCATATTCGATATATCAGACAAAATTATATTCGATGTTCCAAATGTGCCCCATGTCATTTTTGCTCTTCTGTTGATTTCGCAGAAAGATATATTGCTTGGAAGACATTCTGGTTGATAACAGGTTTAGTCGAAGAAGTTCGGTGGATTAGGATGAATAAGCATAGCAGAAAACAAGTTTAAGTTAATAACGAAGTGTTCGCGAGGCCTTCATCCAACAGTAGATCGAAAAGGCCTCATGATGTTACGCGCCATTTCTCGAAGTGAAGCTCATAATCGCACACTTTGACGCTAGTGTCGTAACTGTCTTGTCGTTCTACTCGTTCTAGGGCAGATGAATCTTATTA